CCAATTCTTGAATTCTCGTCTGGTAAACTCCTGTTTCCGTTTACGCATCTAAATCTATATATTATTCCACTCTGCTTCTACTGCTGCAACACAATTAAACAACCTCTGTAATGTTTCACTATATGATTCCATAAAATATATCACTACAAAATTAGTAAAATCTAAGACTGTCATCGCATACCTATTTCTGTCCTATGTCTTCGGTTCTATAGGCCCACACATATATCAGAATGTTCAATTTCTAGTTGCTTTTTTGCCCTTGTTCTTGGCTCTCAAAATTGTGTCTTTAATTGCCCTGCATAGAAAAAGTATCCTGCATTCTCCAATTCTTGCCTTTCGTATTCCTTTTGTTACTTTTATTCCCAATGTTTTCCTGGACAACTTTTTCATGTTTTCTGTATTTAGATGACCCAATTTTCTGTACCATTACCAGCTTCTTGTTCCTCTCTACTAGTAATGCTCTAGCCTGCATTTTTCTTTTTGATTCGTCCACAACATAAAGTCCATTAATACATATCTTCCCTACTAATATTTTTTTTTCTTCTTGTAAACTATTACATTATGTTTCTAGAACATTATTTTATCACCTTTAGAATTATTTTACCATATTTTGAGTTATCAGATGTATTGACATTAAATTCTGTCTCAAGTTTGAAACATACAGAACATTTTAAAATATACAGCTATCTACCTCAATTCCAATTTCTGTTCCAATTGCCTCTTATTTCTTAAAATATTCTAGTTTGTTCACCATATGACTGGTTGTCCAAAATCCATTGTTTTGTTCCATTTCTCTCTGTCAAGAAGCACACTGTCTTCTTTTCTTCTTGAACGCCTTCGCTTTCCTTCATGTTTTTAAAATAACAGTCTTTTTCCAAATGATTAGATTTCTTACATGTCCTACATGAAGAGTACACTTCTTAAGCCTCGTCTTTTCTTCCTAATCCTGGAAATTTTTCTGATTTTTATCCTAATTCTAATCGCAACTAAAATATTTAATTTCTTTGTTACCTTTTTTGTTTTTCCAACATGTACTTGCAATATGTATACTGTAGTTACATTTGAAATACCCCTTCTCTTGAGCTTTACAAGCTATAGATCATTTTGATGATCTTGCTTTCTTGACAATCACCTGAGTTGTGAGATTATCTACTATCCTTTCTTCTTTCTGCTTTCTGAGTTAACTCCCACACAGTTGCATATACACGATCTGGCAGTGTACATAAGATTTTAGTTATAAACATTGTTTATTCTATTTTACGTCCTAATGAATGTAATTTGAAAACTTACCTGTCAGCCACGCAGTGTGGGTTACTATATCATGTTTTGCTGTTTTGTATCCTTCTCATAGATATTGCTTAATTTTGTCCATGTCTCATAACTTGACATACAGGGTATCAAGTAATAATACCTTCCCGATGATTGAAACTATCATATTTTGTAATTACACATTGTTAACCAATCTTGTTCGCAGTTTCCTACATTTCTTAGTTCTTTCATTATATGTCAATACAAACCTTAAGACTACAGCGTGAAGACCACTGTAAATTTTCAAATATGATATCCATCTTGATCCTTTCATCCATTGATACTTTCAATTTCTTTCTCGAATTTTGTTTTCCGCACTCAAACACGTGGCCTACATTCGGTTGGCAGTTCATAACCTGTTGATTTATTTTTTTACTTAAAACATGCACAACCCACACACATTCCACCTTACATTACTCACCCGAGGTCTCCTTTTGTTTTCATCGCTGTCACAATCTCATTCATTCTTTCCAGTTATAGATTAATTCGTCATTTACAGTCAAAAATACCCATTAAACAATTACCGTCCAATAATAACATGTATCTGGAGCATATAACCAAAGTTAGTAACCCATTCAAATTCAAGCGTCTTCGATCAGCGCCGTCTATGAGTTTGGACTGTAACCTTGAACCTTTGAGTCGTTTGAATTTTTATTCCGTATTACAAAATTAACAAGTTACTCAATTTCTGCGATTAATTTATGAACTTTTATAATTTCATCGTAAAGGCGCAGCCTTTGCGAACTTTCCAATATAACTTTTGATATAAATTTGTTCCTATTTAATTAATTATTAATTATTATTCTACCGAGTGTTTGAATTGTTATCGAAGACGCCATTGGTTTTTCACTACTTGCTATCTTTTATGCAATTAATTTATGAATTGGTTGAATACATAATAAAGAGAATATCCTTGGGTATCTTCCCATATATCTTTATCAATTAATTTATGAATTGGTTGAATACATAATAAAGAGAATATCCTTGGGTATCTTCCCATATACCTTTAGTTCACATTTTATTTCTAGATTTATTCATTATTTAATATTTTCTCGAAAGATTATCATCCCGGTCAATGTTACGAAATCATGAACGCCTTCAAATAATTATTAATAGCAGGCTAATTAGCAACAATTTGTTATCGAATTTTACATAGGAATGTTGCCAATAGTTCCAGTTTTACGATGCAATTATAAAAGTTCATAAATTAATCCCAGGAATTGAGTAATTTGTCGATTTTCCACGACGAAACCATTCTATCCTTTTCTATCCGCTTTCTGTCCTTTTCTATCACGTGACCAGATGTAGACGACCTCCTTGCACATTCTATGTTCCTATTACTTTTCTGTTCATCTGGTCGAAAATCATATATAGCGCTGATCGAGTTTCGCGCGTAATTTTATCCTTCTCTAACTTATCGACGGAATTAGTACCGTATCAACGAATTGTATTGGGGGTATATTGAGTTTATTTTGCAACAGAATTTGTAATTGTATTATATTTTGCTGCACATTTTAGACATCTTTTTTTAATACTTTGATAGTTTTAAAATAACATAAATGAACATTCAATAATTATACGTAAACAATATTTACTATTATTTTCAATAGTTTATCTTCACTAATAATGTCTTTATTATTAATTAATATATTATTGATTGCTTAGAATTTGGACAGTATGAAAATGAATAAATAACATCGTTGTAAATACAAGAAAGATACATATACTTATGTCGTTTGTCTGTAAAGTTATAATGAATTGTATTTTTTTATACATTATACTTGGTACTCAAATTACGTTTAGTTACGGCACTGTCGAGGCTGGAGAAGCGGGAAATAGCTTGCGGCGATAAAATTCGTATTCGCGTTACGGACGAATATTTCCTCGATTTAATTGAATCGATATCTATTTCGATAATTCTCTTTGATCTTCGATCTTCGATCTTTGCAAATTCATATCAAATGAAGAACATTTTATAAGAATGCACGAGTAGTGTGGAGAAAGTCTCTCCGTGGTTTATTTTTAAATTTCGATGACCAACTATAATTATTCAGAAGCTCGAATAATTATAATTATGAAGATTGATAAACTCCGGATATCCTTATCTAACTTGTAAAACAAGAACAAACCTCCTAACGTTCTAACTTTTTACGTAATAATTAATTTTATCCAAAAATCATGTCCTTTCAAAAAAACTCACAGTTTTTGAAAACTGAGAGTGATAGAGTAATTTCGATGACGGATTCCTATTCAGGAAACTCTACAGGAAGCACGTAATGAATATTATGGATTAAAGAAATTAATATGCTTATGGTAGCGTTCTGATTATCTAATTGAATCGTAAAAAGACTTTAATATTTAAGTTTTTGAACACTCGAATTATCCAAACTTTGTATTAGAATTTTTTATTTCTGAAAAGAATCTGAATTGTAAGTATACGAAAATTATTATAATAATTATTATATAAGAAGCTTCTTAAATTCAAAGTATTTAACGTTGGCAGAATCGACCGATTTGTCGAATAGATTAGTATCATTTCCTAATAGCTAATTTTTAATTGTTATGCATTTGACCTATTATAATAAATAAAAAAATAAAATCACGTTATTTGGTATGAAATTATCAAATTTTGAGATATTTAAGAAATAATGCAAAAATTTCCAATTTTGTTAATTTATGTTAATTTATATCGGTATTTATGCTAATTCAGGTTTCATATATGCCGCGTATGATAAGATAACATGGCATTTACAAAATGTAATATCGTTTAGATTTGATTAATTTAGCTTGTGCATTCAAACTTGCATCCCAACAGTGTGCGTTAGAACTGAAATACAAATTCATTTAGCCATATTCTGCGAAGTTGGTTCAACGAAGTTAAAGTGTAACGTTACATAAACATTTAGAGATTGCTCGCTATTACACGAGATAAAACGAAATTTGTTATTATATAAACTGGATCAAAGGCTTATTATTTCTTTCATAAAGGTACCAATATGCCTTCAAAAATATATATTTGTAGAATATTTTTCTTTTTTAATTGGCACGAATATCGAAACAGTAATAATATAATTTTATGTGTACCATTCTTTTTGATATAAACTGGATTTTTCTATAGCTATTTAAATGCAAATTGAAATGCAAAGAAAAACTGATAACTATGTTTTTCAATTGCAGGTGATACTTATGTTTGAAAATTACAATTACTAACATTATAAAGCACTAAATTTATAATTTATATAAGTATAAACATATGATATTAGCAAAATTACAAATTTTATTAAATACTACCAAAATACAAATTTTGTTTTTACCAAGATTACAAATTGACTAGTACTAAAATTACAAATATTGTTATTGTCATTATTAAAAACATTATCAGAAACATTAGAAATTATATTACTGTCAAAATTAGGACTTTTATTATTTCTATAGTTACAAATTTTATTATCACTAATATTACACATTCTGATATCTACGATATAAATTTTGTCTTTGCCAAGATTAAAAATTGGATTATTATCGAGATTAAAAATTTGACGATCATTAAAGTTACTCGTTGTATTATTACCAAAAGTACAATCTTTCATATTTCCATTTAATAACAAGTCTCAGTTTCTTATCCAGAATCATTTCGTAGAACAAAATTAACACGATCTTGCAAATTTTCAAAAGAACGGCTCTGTTCATAGGTATTAGGCAGCGCCATCGAGAAGATTTTAACAGCACAAAGAGGAAACGATGCAGAAGCATCAGGATCAAGCGGAAAAGCGTCAGTATCTCCGAACAAACCGAGATCAGGCAAAGTGGCAAATTGGTTCTCAGGTACCAAAGACCAAGAGCAAAACGAATCCTGTGAACCTTCTATCTGTTCTTCCCTGAAGGACCTGTTCGTCAAGTAGTATGGAAGCACAAACGCGGATCTCGCTCGTTTAATTAACGCTTCTTCGTTTAAGGGTTTGTTCAGAGATTAACGCGACCTAATAAATGACTGACAATCTCGTTTCATTTACTTTAACGAGCTACGATGAGATCACCAGTACTTTCCTTCAACTGCTTCAATCTCTGAAATTCACCTTCGCCATTTTTGTTATCCTTTATCCAATACCTATATCCATTAAACGTACATCTCTGTTCTTAAGTATTAGGACATTTACGCATAAATTAATTAATTAATTACAACTCGAACATGATTAAAAACAAAATGATCCTATAAGATCATTGATCCTTGGACAATACCTTTTCTTTTTAATTTTTGCCTACTATATTTTCGATAATTCGTAATTTCCGATAAATACAAAATATTTATTACCAATTTTCACAATTTATAGAGACTTCTAACATATTTATACTGCACTTCATTTGATATTTATTGTCGTTTGCTATGTAGAAATTGCATTGCGTTGTTCCATTGCCATTCTGGTCTAAAAGAAGTTATTAAAGTCTCTAGGAATTACTAACCCATTAACCAGGGATGACAAATTATCTCGTAATTAGAAAGTGTTTGTTCAGTATGCAAGATGAGTAAACCGTCACGGAATTTTCTCTCTTTTACTGTCAACTTTCCTGTCAAGTCATTTTGCCATGTACATTCCATTTATTTTAATTAGATTCTTTCATTATTCACCAAAAGAAACATCTATCTTTGTGTTCCTCGTTATTTGATAATAAGGAATTAATTAATAATTATTTAATAATAATCGCATAAGATGCATAAGTTTTGACATTTGGCATAAACTGAATAATCACGTTTAAAGTTAAATTATATAACGAATTAACTTATCTTTGCAAGTTTACATAACAAATACAAAATATACCATTTGAAATTTTTTAAGTAACAATCGTTACAAACAAATAATTGAATGATCAATGGAATAAAATTTTTTAAGTAAAGTAGTACGGGTAATAACGTCAAAATTACATGATGTTATAGGAAAAGAATTCGTTTCTCATCAACTGTGTATGATAAAATTGGAGATTCTCTGCGTCGATATTCACCATGTTTTTCGATCGACTATTGCAATTCATTTTAGAATTCGTATTATCAACTTTTCCATTTCATCTGCTTCTATTTGAATAATAATTCCACGAATGAGATTCAGATTTCAGACCACCAATAAGCTCTATTTTTCAAACGTGATTAAATCAGAAAATCATAAGTGTTAATACATAAGTGTTAAGTTTTAATTCATTATTTTCTTGCAATCGTTATACATAATTTATACGAAATTTGATGCATGTTCTAAATCATTACCTTGCATGGATATAGGACCTTCACTGATTAATTGTTTCCCTGATAATCTGAGATAATAATCAGGTTTTGTGTGGGAACAATAGCTGTCGTTCTACGTATGAACGGAGATGTTTATCTGCGCGAATAATTCGTTATAATGTTAATAGCAGCTTTGAAAATAAATCTTTTTTATTCTACATTTTTTTTATTTCCTATATTATATTCGTACGTAAGCTGAAACACCATGATCCTATTATTGGTCGTATTTAAGAAAACCGTAATTCGTGAAATCGTTTCTGATTTTATGGAAACATTGTGATTGATTGATAAATGAAACACATTAATCTGAGAATTGTCTGTTATATATTTTTAAATATCTTAAATTAAGTTTTGCAACAGGTATTTTTGAATTTTTTTAAATTTTTAATTCTCTTATCTTACAATGATATGTAATAATTAGTGTAATATTAAAAAATAATAATTAATATAACATATATGTAGAATAAGCTACATAAAATGTTGTAAATTCTTTTTGAAAACACTTTTTACCTATATTTATTTAATTTTTATTTTTCAACTATAAAAACAACAAATCCAATGACTAATTTTTATTTATTATTACCTTTATTAAAATATAAATATTTATAATATGAATTTTTGTGCAATATTATTTCTATTAAAATATTAATTTAATGAAATGTCGTACACGATTAATTTGAAAATGAAAGATAAATATTGAGAATTTAACAGAATTGTAACAAACGCGAATGCCAACAGCATCAGTAAACAAATAATTCCCATAAAATCAGAGTCGATACAACGAACTTAAGAGATTGTAAAATCGTGTATGTATCACTCTGCTAAAGCGTTGCGGAATTGATGGTCAGAAATGAATATTATAAAAGTCCGCAAACCTTCGTAGATCTAAAGATTTCAGTGGATGCAACTTTCAACAAATAAATGTGAACAAAAGTTTATTCATTCTCTATATTTAAATAATGCATAATATTTAACTGCAGAGTATAATTAAGCGAAGATTCGAAGCTAAAATTTCGAGATATAATTGAACAATATTATCGTACAATAAATGTTATACATGATGTTCCATAAGAGAGAATTGTTTTTTTATGAAAAGCGTCAAATGTAAAAGATATTATTGAACGATACGATCTCTTCGAGGTCAAGATATTTCGATTTCATGTGTGTATAGTGTATCCCGTACGAAAAATATCATTGCAATAAGCGTTCAGTCATAATGTAAAACATTAACCGAAATTTTTAATCACGAATGTAAATTTTATTATTTCTTTTCCACTTCCAGAAATCACTCTAACGAGTGAAAATACTTTACGTATCGTTTTATATAATTTTTCCAATTACATTATAAATTATTTCATAAATAATTAGATATCGGTGTCTCTCGATCTTTTTCTATATCTATAATAATACGTAATACATGGTGCAAAATAATTAGAAGATCATTTTAATTATTTAAAATGATATAGGAAATGCTTTAAAATTATGAGTACTTGCTCGATCTTTATAAAGAACGGAAAAATTGAATAGTTATATATATATATTGGTTAAAAATATGAAGACTACTCTGTTTTATATTAAGTCCATTCCTTTCCATAATAAGTAATAAATAATAAATTATTTTATAACGACAGATAAATTTATGAGCATTATATAGATGCTTATTTCATATTTTTCTACAATACCAGAAAAGAAATTAATTTTTATAATAATTTTTTCAATGTTTATGATAAAAGAATTTTCAGTATCATTATGCATAAAAGTTTATATTCTATGCTATATAAGTATATATCTTTACACAGCATCTTTAAAAACTAATTACTTCAAAATTACTGAATTTCATAAATAAATTTGTACTCGTATGTTTCAAACAATATCTATACAACGTATACAATGAAATTACATTCATAAAATTCTTTTCACAACTTAGTCTCGTTTTACCATTTCAAATTTTTCCAAAAACCGATCTTCTAATTATTCCGAATAACTAAAATTTCTTACTCGCTAAGTATAAAAGATATAAAACATATTTTTATCGATAAAGACGCAAAGTCATAGACGTTTAAATGTTAGCTTTAACAACGTTAGATCTCTCCTTAGATACTAACAAATTTAACTATTCTCTCCAGTAGCGAAACTTAAACAACGTTAACAACGGCAGTAACATTTCCTACGTACCTACAAATTGCGGATATTAAACTGCAATTAAAGCATGAGGAAATTAATAAACACGATGGTTAGAGAGTGGACTACTCGTCATGTTGAAGTCCAACGCTTATTGCCACCCTTCCTCAATCAAACACGATCCTAGAAGAATATTGCTGAAAACAAATGTAATGCGTGTATTTATTTGCCTTTGCGGGTCGAAGGCTTATCGAATCATTGTAATATATTATATAAATATGTATAATTGTGTGTATAAAAATCAGCATATACAGGGTGATTCGATTAAACTGAGCGTCTGCGCTAATTCTGTTACTGTGGAAATTAGGAAAAATTGTCAAGGCGGTGTTCGAATGGTTCCAAAATCTGCGCAGATCGAAAAAAGGATCTTAACGTTTACACAAATGAACACTTGAAATAAAATATGGTACGCCCCTCTTTTCCTGTATCCTTCTAACATCAACTCGTGCTTTCCGTTCCCAAGGTCATGATATTGTAGGTCAATGAACACGTTTTAATACCGACTACAACATCGTACTGTAAAAAATTATTGTTGATATGCAAAAAAGGGGAATGATCTTCAAACACCGTTAACATGACCTTGACAAAACTCTTCTTGGTCGCCATCAGATGCAGGCTTTGAAATCATTCAAACACTGCTTTGTCAATATTTCCTAACTTTCACTATAACAGAAATAACATAAACGTTCAGTTTGAATGAATCACCCTGTGTATATACAGGGTGGACCATGCAAATATTACAGGTCATAACCTCGTTATTAATGCATTTACAAAAAAATGCTAAAGCATAAAAATAATTGGTTCGAGCACTACACCTGTAAGCTCTCAGGTGGTTTTTAAATGTACAAGTACAAAATGGTGAAAGAACAGGTGCAATGTAATAGAAAGCGTTTGAACGTTTGAATATCTTCAATAAAGACAGTTTTTTAGAGGAAGCGATTTATGCTACAAACAATATGCATTTTCCATAAAAAAATGCAATTGTTAATTGCACATGTACCGTTACATTTAAAAAAAAATTTAACAGCCTACAAGTATAGTGCCCTTTAAACAAATTATTTTTCTCCTTTGGAATTTTTTCGTAAATACATTAATAAAGAAATTATGACCTGTAACATTTACGTGGTCCATCCTGTGTATATATATATATATACTTTTAATAACGACTTAACTTGTATAGTAAGAGCATAACTGAAATATTGTGTAGATCGTCGGGATGTAAGTGACATTAATTTGTGCTGCATCATCGACCATTTTACCTGAAAAAATAACCAAGAAAATAATTGCGTGGATAATTATGGCAATTTTATTAATATACGAAATGTTAAGAGAAAAAGAAAAAAGGAAACTGAAAATGGATTTACTGAATATGTAAATGTTTCATTAAATATGACTGTTACGTACATGTGATGTTACTTGTACGAAATAACGTTGATATAATACTCATATTGTATTTATGGTTTTACCTTTCACAGAGTTAATAAAATCTGCAAGGATTTAAACGTATGTTGTTCTTCTCATTTCATAAATTATCATTCATTTCATTTTGTTTAATTAATAACTGTCTAAAATAAGGATCATAAAATATATTATACTGTTGATTAATTAAAAATCTTCAATCTAAAATTAAAATTAAAACAGTTAAGATTTTCAACTAAATATACTTAATGTATTCATGTTCTTAGGTAAAATATGTATTCATTGAAGTGAAAATGTTTAAGACATTTTTGTTTGAGTATTCTATATTTTAACTGTGGCTTTATCCCAAAGGTTATATAATAACAAAGACAGAAAATTAACCACTTGCGCTACGATTTGACTTTCGGTTGCCGTGCCGCGCTCTACAATATAACGTGGTAAGGTGTTACATTGACGTGGTATACACGTCGCTGGCGACTTTGGAACAAAAAAATCTCGACGTACGTGGCACGTCTTTATAGCGCAAGTGGTTAAAGTTTCGTAATTGTAAATAAATATTCTGTAACTTTTAAAATTGTCCAATAGGATATAAATTTTTGGTAACATTTAGTGCAATATCATTGGCAAAATTCCATTTTTATATGGTATTTATTATAAATAATTCTTTTAATCAATCCATAAATTAGGTTACTAGTAACAAGTGTATTCTACATGTGACGAAACAGTCACTCACACCACTAAAAGTCACTGATGGCGACATCTGATGAACTTCCAGAAAAGATTCACGCTAACAACCCGCCAGTGTGCAACAAAATCTTTCGTAGCGATTATATGTGTTTGATACAATTATTAAAATAAAATTCCTTTTTCTATAAATTGTAAGACATTTATTCTTCACATCAGTAGTTAATAGGAAGATAGAGAACCTTACACATATTTTAACTGTGACTTCATCTTGGAGGTCGTTTAATAATAAAGGCAGGAAACAAGAAATATGCACTACGAACTTTAAATTGCTACTTTATATATTTTATCACAGACGAGGTTTCACTTTCGTACAAATACGTGGAAAAATGAAGGCTGTGAAAAATCTATAACAATGCGTGGAATATTGTAAATCAGATTTTAAAGACACGATATTAATTACTTATATAGTTTTAAATAATGAAAAATTGAAAGTCCTATCGTTATTAGTATCGAAAAAATTATATACAAAACACGAACGAAAAAGTTTGCGTAGACAGATATCTTACAAATACTTAGGTAAACTATTCAAATTAAAATTATTAGAAAGAAAATATCAAGAAATACATTACTCTTTTGTCCCCTCCCCCCCTCCACTCCTACCATTTCATTGACTCAAAAAAAGTAGAGTGAAATATGCAAAATTGATAAAAGACAATGAACTACGTAATTACCAAAAATTATTTAATCTGCATATTAACAAATACTTTATATATTAGTTGTTGAAATGTTTTTAAGAATCATCGAAATCGCAGGATGAGATATACATGGATAAGTTGTCCAAAAATGGATATTAATATCTGAAAATATCAACTGTAAACGTGTCATATAATCAACTTTACTATTTTTAAACATGTAAGTTTATGACATAAGAAAATGTAAGCAAAACTTTAATACAGCATAAATTTGTTATAATTTTTTAGTAAAAAATAAGAAAGTAATCACAAATTATAAAATATAAAATTACGCAATAGAATTAGTGAAGTAAAATAATCTATTTTGTAATGAAGACTAATTATAAGAACCACTTTAAATGTATTTTTATCATTAAAGATAATGTTTAATCTTTGTATTTTCAACTAATCTTTCATTTTATCGCTTATTTTTTATAAATATCTTCATATTAAGGATAAATAAAAAGATATTCAAAACTAAACAACAATTGAATAAAAAATACATTTCTTAGCATTATGAAACTAATAATAATAATAATAATTCATGTATTCTTATGTATGCATTAAAATATTTTAGTAATATATTATAAGAATAATTTAAACAACCAATAACATACTAATATTAATAAAATAGAGAAATTCGTACTTTATTTGCGATAATAAACATACAACAATTACTTCAGAAAACAATTTTATTTTATAGAAATCCCAATTACTGTGATCGTTGCAACTACATTTTCCAACATTGGTGTTACATCAGAACAAAATGAAATTATCTAAAGGCATTATTTGATACTACAGTTTACACTAATCAAATCTCTATTATCATTCTGTGCTTAGAAAAGGCAAGGTGTATACATATAAAAACGAATAATGCCCTAGATAACACAAGCATTATTTTAGTGGATCTAAGTATAAAAGCACATTAGAAAAGTTAAAATATTGTAACGTCACAGATAAATGCATTGTACAGCAATCATGTAACACTCGCTAAACATGGATCTTAGAAATGTAAATACTTACGAATTTTATCTTTATTAGATACTAAAATATGAATAATACACACAGAAAAATTATTTTATGAAACACACTCTGTTCATATATTTACGTTTTACTGTGCTATATCATTTAATACCATTAAAGGAGCAATATCCCATGGAAGAATGTGGATCTAAACCTCTTTCATTTGTTTTACATTACACTTCGGTATAGGAGAAGTATGTTGCTTATTGCAGGTAATAATGAATGTAAAATTATGAAACAATTTTTACAATAAAAAACAAAAAAGAAATTATGTTAAGAAAATCTATTTCATTGCATTTTCCAACTTCAATTATTTGTGATAAAAAATAGTACAATGTATGTAACTTTTTGATTCTACTTTGAAGTAGTTACACCTTTTTTAATATAAAACTAAATCCACAATATTAAGAAAAAATGAAGATGATTAAAATGAATGAGTTATACAATAAAGACAGCAACAGTTGTATGTAACAACTAAATAAAAATGCAGTCATTGGAGTATCTACTTGGAGTATCTACAGTTGTCCAGACTTAACTATTACAATCTTTTTGGTAGTCTTTCCACTTTGACTTCCCATTCCTTCCATCTAAAATAAAAATAATAAATATTATATTCTTTGTTACCAAAAAGAGTAATATGTTTACATTTATTAATTATAATATGTAATTATATAATAAAAGATAGAAAAAAGTAATAACATACTTTTCTAACAACATCCATTCCTTCAATAACTTTTCCAAATACAACATGTTTTCCATCAAGCCAACTGGTTTTGGCACAAGTAATAAAGAACTGACTACCATTAGTATTTGGACCAGCATTAGCCATAGAAAGAATACCAGGTTCAGTATGCTTCAATGTGAAATTTTCATCATTAAATTTGACACCATAGATAGACCTTCCACCAGTGCCATTATGATTGGTAAAATCACCTCCTTGGCACATGAAATTTGGAATTACTCGATGAAAACTGCTTCCTGTATAGCCAAGACCATACTGACCAACACACAGAACTCGGAAATTCTCTGCTGTTTTTGGGACAACATCGCTTCGCAACTGAAAATTTAATTTTCTTTTAAAAACATTTAAAAATATAATTTCCATCTTATAATAAACAATCATAAACATACTGATTATGTACATGTACATGTACAACTATGTACAAATACAATTTCCATTTAAATATATAAATTGCATTAATTTTTGAATTTAAACAAGGATATAAAAAATTAATATAATATACAAAAATATTAAATAATTAACTGTTCTACATAAATTACATTAATAAGATATAAACTAACACAAATTTTAATGATAACATAATCTGAAGGTCACTGTTTTAAAATATAAATTTGATTTACTTATTCAAGTGAAAAATTTTGCTATTTATATAACAACATATATGTAACATCAATAACTAAATTTGTAGTATACAAGAATTAAAGACTGAAACTTAAATGTAAATGAAAGCAAATAACAGAGCATTTTCAATGTATTTATAACATATTCATAACTTGTCCACATTTTTACTTTTTTCTTATAATAAATTACAAAAAATGTAATTTAAATATTTTAAATTCATATAAAAATTAAAATTATCAAAATAACTCGCAAAACATGTTTCATAGTTACATAGTTTTAGTTTCATCTGTACGGAATACGTAATCAAATGTGTCAGCAACAGTCGGCGAATGGAAAATTTTACGATTTAGTACAATCAAAAGAATGATACAATGAACATTGAAATTACATATATCATATTTTATAATATCAAAAAAAAAATAAATTTCATTTTACTCAAATAAAATAACAATCTTAAAAGAAAAATGTACATATTAATGACTTTGAGGGAAATTCTAATCGAAAATTGTCTCATATAATCGGCTTTTAAGAAAATCCAAGATGGCCAATCATGCCGGGATTCCAACGAGGACATATTTAAGAAGCGAAAACTACATTAACTGTAAATAATTTTCATTTACCTCCATCACGATGCGACCCACAGGTTTATCATCAGCTGTGATATCGAAGAAAACACGAGGTAAATCCATTTTTTCTACTTGAGTGGAAAGATTTCGGGCAAGCAACGCAAAAGACGATCGTCTCGACCGGGCGGTGGCTCCAAAATGACTCAAATGGCTGAAGGTCGAACCAATTGACAGCCGGCAGATCGATCTCAACGCCATGTTCAAAGCTTATTACATGAAAAATCAATTTCAAACAGCTTAATCTTTCGTCTCTACTATATAATACAGTATATATTCTTTTCCAGAAGTAAACCGCTACTATTTCATAGAATTATTATGTAATAAAACGGCGTTTTTCAGTTTTGTATTGATAATTACTTATAGTATTGAACGACAAACGTGGTTTCCACCGTTAACCAATCCGATACGACATTTTCTACGACTATGAGAAATAACCAATCAAATGTTTTGCTTTTGGTCATGTAACGGAAAGATATAGTATACTATTAAGTCTTATATTCACAAAAAATAATTAATTGTAAAGTTGTAAATAGAAACAAAATATGTAAATAGTGCTGATTATATCTACAAACTACCTTGTAATTATAGCTTTGCACTTAAAAATAGGTATTTAATGTAGTTAACCTTCCTTTAAATTTATGGGATTTTGAATTACGTCTATATGAATGCGCCTTAAAGTTTTTCTCTGCATATGACAAAAATGGTTTATATATATAATAAAATTAGAAACTCTTTTCTTTATTGCTATTATATAATAAATATATTTCTATGGTTATATAAATATTTTTGTAATTTGTAAACTATAAAAAATATTTATAATTTAAATCCAAAGATACAGAATATTTATTCGTTATATTTATAGTATTAATTTATTCCTGCCTACACTATTAAAAATATTGTAGGCTAATTACTTAATTTTATCTAAAATATTATCTAATATGTTCATAATACTTATATCGTTACAATATGTTTACCGGTTATGATATCGTTACATATTTAAATTATACCTTATTAGCAGAAACCTGGTTTTGCTTCGTTAATAGGAAGAGAGCATGCAATTATACTAATATAACTCATTTGACATAACCAAAGGATGTTATGTCATGCTTTACCTTGAATCTTGATAATTTTGATTATGGACCAATCATGTTTCTGTTCAATTTTATTCTGTCTACACCGGACATGACGTTCTACTCTTGCTGTTCCAATAGCCGAGTAGAAATATATCACTTAAATTTCACAATAATATATTCCTAAATTATATTATATTTAAACAATCGAATACTATTTTCTATTTAAACCTATTTGTCTCAGAAATATACAAATTCAGATATATCGAAATGTTAAATACCGACATTTAGTAATAAAGCAACGTACGTTTCTATTGAGTCTCAACTTAACAAGTATGCTTCCTATACATCTAACAGAATCAAATTGAAATTTGACTTAACTTTTTTACAAATATTTAAATTGTATTTATTTATTGTTAAACAATAAATGAATAAAATTAATTGTCCAGCAAATTTTACGTAACATTTATATTGTGGAGAAATTTTATCCAAAAAAATTTTAAAGATTCAAAATTAATTTCACTTCCTTCATAGAGAAATATTTGATTACAGTAGTTGTAGCTGAAAAGATGGCGCCCAAATGAAGGACGCTCAATTGAGAGTAGTGGAGATCCTGTTAAATTGGTATTGTTAATAATATCACATATTTTTTAGGAAATGAGTAATCTTTCACCATTTGGAGGTGGTAAAAATCCACCGTGGGTTCGTAATGCAGGTGAACTGATTGTATTAATTTATATCTTATTGTCGTTCCGTGTGCAAGTCAACAATGTTGCCAAATTTCTGTTATAATTTATATGAGTCAATGAATATATTTATAAAATATTTTTGACCAATGTTTTGTATATTATTAGAGTATTTAAAGTTAATTAATGATATACATATGTCCAAATAATAAATATTTATATGTTTAATAATGGAAATAGATTGTTTGTTATCAGATTTTTCTTGTATTTATTTTAATTTTCTACAAATTATTAAACAAATGGTTTTTATAACAAATATAATAATATACACATGCATCTTAACTTTTACATGTTTTTATAATTGTTTAGTTTGTATTTCAAAAATGGAAATATTATGTGCAGTTACATGTAAGCACAATATATATAAAATATAATAAACAAATTAATTTATTGTTATTTATATGATATATGTACAAATATTTGTAACTAAGGTTTAAATATATAAATTTAGTATATTTTATTTTTATTTATATATAGGACAAGGAATTCAAAATATTCAACAACAAATGTTAGGTCAAGCAATGGGTAGCATAGGTGGACAACCTATGGTTCAATACCAACAACAAACCCAACAAGTTTATCAACAAAGTTTAGGATTACAACAGGTTAGTATGAATGATGGAATATATTAAAATGTAGGAATAATGTAATAAATATGTGATATCTTATTAATGATTATATGTTGAGTTTTTATCTTGTCTTATATAATACTTTTTATATATATTATTCTTAATATAATATTAAGAATGTATTTTCTAATTCTTTAGTAGGTTATACATAACACTCTACATTTGTTAGAATATTTATTGATACATTTTAATTGACACAAAATAGCCTAATATAACGATGGCTTCAATGGCAACACTTGGATCTAACTTACCATCGGGTATAGCTGGCCAATTATATCCACAAGTTGCTACTGTTTCTTATCCACCACCAAGAGCATTAAATACAAATGCATTTCAACCTTCTGTTGCTGGTGTACCACAACAAGTGCAACAAAATGTACCTTCGTCTTCTACCAAACAAAGAGTATTTACTGGCACAGTTACACAAGTATATGACAATTTTGGTTTTGTAGATGAAGATGTATTCTTTCAAACAAAGTAATAATATTATACAAAAATATTTGTATTAAATTTGTAACTTGAAATGTATAATATATGGCATTAAACAATTCTTTTAGTGCGTGTGTTAAAGGATCTAATCCAGTTGTGGGTGATCGAGTACTAGTGGAAGCATCATATAATCCATCCATGCCATTTAAATGGAGTGCCACTAGGATACAAGTACTTCCTATGGGAAATAATAATAATAGTGCTAGTACACAACAAAGTAATCAAACAACTCGTCAACAACAGCAATCACAGCCACAACAAAGTCGAACTTCAGGAACATATAATGCTGTCCCTCCACCTGCTGAGAATGCTAATAATAGGTAATTAATGTTAGTTAACATTATACACTGTGTTAATAACAGATCATAATTATGTACAAGATTTAGGTATGTCATATGAATAGTTTTTGGAATATGTGTGCAGTATAATCATTTTATTGAAGAAGCATAATTATTGGTAGATTTACAACTAGTGCAACAAGTGCTAATACAGCTAGTAATCGAAACAAAGTTGGAAGAGTAAGAGAAAGATCTCCACGAGAACGAAAAAACGAAGAAGAAGAAATTGAAAGAAAGAGACGTCGCGAAGAAAGAATTAGAGAACGTGAAAAAAAAGAAGAACGTAGTCCGTCGAGAACTAGGAGAAGCAAATCTCCAAGACCAAGACGACGTACTAGAGTTGTACCGCGTTACATGGTACAGATACCAAAAATAGCTCTTGATTTGTACGTATATTCTTTGTATAATATACTTAAAAATTATAATTTTTTGTAGTTCTTTCTAATACATTTAAAATCGCAAAACTTAATTATTTATTATTTTAGACCCGAAGCAGATGTACTCGAAATAAGAAGACGTTATCAAAATATGTATATTCCCAGTGATTTTTTTTCTACCAATTTCCGATGGGTTGACGCTTTTCCACCACATATGCCATTTGCTCTTAATAAGCCATGCTCTTTCCATGTTACTCATAAAGACGTTGATCCTTGCACTGAAAATACAGCAGTACTAGAACCTTCAGATGCTGATTATCTTTTTTCTGCTAAGGTTTGTTACATTATAATTTTAGAAATTATTGATTAAATAATTTCTTGTTGTCAATCACATCCGCAACACTGCAAGTGACAGAACTTTTGAAGTAAATGTTTTCTTTTGAAATAAAAATCACACGTTAACTGTTAATATATCATCAATAACGGATATATATTCTTTTTATCAATGTTCAAATTAAATAATAAAACTTTCTTTGTGACTTTTTAATGGATCAGCAGTAGAAAAGTAATTTGAGAGTATAATTTATTATTTAATAGTACTTTGTTTACGTATTTTATGAAATGTTTTAATTTCTTATGTTGGATATTATTTTCTTATTTAACTTTTATAATATTGATGATTCATTGACAAGTAATATATTAATATGGTTGTAGTTACATTTAATTTTCCTAAACTATAGATATTATTTTGTAGGTTATGCTGATATCTATGCCTGCCATGGAAGAAATTTATAAACGGTGTTGTGGTGTATCCGAAGATAGAGATCCAGATCGCGATTATGTACATCCTACGCGTTTAATAAATTTCTTGGTAGGCTTACGAGGTAAAAACGAAACAATGGCAATTGGTGGACCATGGAGTCCTTCTTTGGATGGTCCTAATCCTGAAAAGGACCCATCGGTATTGATTAGAACTGCAGTAAGGACCTGCAAAGCGCTCACGGGAATAGATCTGTCCAGCTGCACTCAGTGGTACGGTTCTCCGAATATTGATACTTTTTACCTTTATTACTTTAAATACAATTTAAAACACTTCATCGAAAGAGCAACGTGATGCTATCTAGTTTCTCTGCCCATTATTTCATTATTCGCCGATACATTATCAAGTTACTTCAGTAAAAATTAATACAAAACTAAAAAATTCTCATTGGTTGAAAATTTTGGACTCGTCGGCTTCGTCCAGCATTCCATATTGTATAAATGTATGATATACACACTCTTTGAAGACATATAACTTAATTGTGTTAAAGACATGAGATAGAATGTTATAGCATTAAGAAAGATCCGGCAGGTGTACCATCCATGAGAGAAAGTAACTTCTAATGCGAGTTCTGAATTGATAACTAAGGTTGTAGCTCAATCTCTACAGAGGAGGTATGTATTTGTTCTATACACAACCGACCGATGGAGATTGCTGCACTGGATCCTGTATCGAGCACCCAGATGATATTCGAGCAGTCATGGCAGACAGATCATCACTATTGTTCTGTGATCGTTATGACCCACTCAGTTGTGCTTTATCAAACGATCTACATTGTGCGCTGTGTGTGGCTTTGTATGCAGTGCGTGGGCTTTACGAACAAGCGAACGAACACTTAGCATATAAGGCAAAGCTAAGCGGCATTAACCTGAGTTGACGTTTGGGTATTGTTTTTCCTTGCGGCACAGGTATCGCTTCCTGGAACTCTACTACAGACGTGCAGAAACGACCCACAAGTCAGGGCGAGTGGTGCCCTCTCGCGTTGAAACCGTCATACTATTTCTCCCAGATGTTTGGAGCTGTGTACCCACCAAATTGGAATGGGATGGTCTGCAACTCAGCTATAAGAAACAACTGGAGCGAAAATTGCTGCGTGCTGCCTCTAGCCCCGACGATTTGGATGCTGCCAATGACACTGATGAGGCTGCCGTCGCTGATCAAAAGGCACTGCCAACATCATCCCATATTACTTTTACCTTTTTATTACATTATATAATCGTGCAACTGTTTTCCCATTACTAAACTGGATTTTCAATATAGGCTGTACTTGCTCATTGATCCTATTGTCAAGTGTTTGTTCGTTTCTTGAGCATTTGACTGTTCATTGCTAATTTAGACAATATAAATAGCTTTTTTTTTTATTGAATGCTGTTATATTATATAAGTAGTTAATTGCTGTATCTTAATATTCCAATTTTTATTATTTCAATGCATAAATATGTCTTTTTTAGAAAATGGCTCAGTAACATATGAATAATGTTGTAATATTATTTAAATGACAAATCAAATAATTTTATTGAAGATGTATTTCATAGTACATGGGATAAAATAATATGATAAAATATTGTATTTAATCACATAAACATGTCATAATAGTTACTGATTCTAAATTATGGCATTCTAAAATATTTCACTTATCGAAAAATTTCAAAATTAACATAACTAAAAAGATCAATGAGTAATGTATTGCAAGTATTCCCTTAGCCACTGGCAGTCACATTGCATTAACAAGAGAAGCAAGCAAGCCTAGCTCGGAGAAGAGCACAGCTGAGCCATTCCCTTTCCTGAAACCTTCACCATCATTGATAAATCATTCAAAAATTTCATTTGATAATCGTTGTATACAACATTATTGATATTATCCATAACCTATCAACCACACAGACACCAGAGCCAGGACACTATGAGAATCTAGCAGTTACTTGAGTCATACTTGAAGGTCATCGTAAATGAAGAACCGTGTATATCATTACAATGTGAGAGAGTGATGATAAAATAGAGAGTGATGAAAGAATAAAGAGGGAGTGGTTTCGTTTCGTTATATAGGGGCTGCTTCTGTTTTGTAGTTTTTTATTCTATTTGTTACTTCTATAACATAATGCACAATTTCTGTTTTTCAGGATGATCCAGTACCTGAGAAAAAGGATCCTACTCATTATTCTGAATTAGATCCAAAGTCCATGAACGTTAGTTTTATTATAATTATTTATAATACCTTCTCGTTGTTGTTATTGTTACTGCTGCTTTTATATTTATGAGTGCTTAATTTTACATAGGTAATCGAACTACGGCAAGAATTAGCAGCTCGTAATTTAAATTGCAAAGGTCTGAAATCACAATTACTAGCAAGGATTATGAAAGCAGCAGCACTAGAACAAGCTAAGGAAGAAGGTCGACAGGACGACATAGAAGAAAACGAAAAAGATATCTCACCTCCACCGAAGGAAGAAGAGGATAAAAAGTTGAAAGATATTAAAGATGTAAGGTTTTGTGTATTCCTTGTAAATATATATATAATTTAACATTTTTCGTAAAATATAAATAACTAAAGTAACTAAGTACACCATTAATGTACAGCATGATGAAGACAGAAGAAAACTTTGTGAACGTGAACGTGCTGCTCTTGAAAAACGATATACTTTACCCGAATCATCTCATATTATTGTTCATCCTTCCAGAATGGCTAAAAGTGGGAAATTTGATTGCACTGTTATGTCGTTGAGCGTTCTTTTAGATTATAGACCAGAAGATACAAAGGTATTTTTTTTCTTTCTTTTTTACAACATATTGATCTTAAATTGAATGTAGTTGTTATTACATAAATAGAAAAATTGTGCTTTATCATTTTTTCTCATTTAGGAACATTCGTTCGAGGTATCATTATTTGCAGAACTTTTTAATGAAATGTTAATGCGAGATTTTGGATTTCGAATTTATCGAGCATTATGTAGTCTTCCTGAGAAACCTAAAGAAAAAGATGATGAAAAGAAAAAGGATAAAAAGGATGATAAAAGAGATGAAAAAAAGGACGATAAAAGAAAGGATGATGAGAAAAGATGTAATAGGAAAGATGAAAGAAAGGATGACAAAAGAAGAGAAGGAAGTAAAGATAAGAAAGATGAGAAAGATGCAAAAAACAAAACGGATGATAGGGATCGAGAAAAAGAAAAAAATGATGATGACGATGATGACGAAGAAGACGAGTCTGATGTAATTATTTCTACATGTGTTATCAAGTGCGCGTGCGTATGTGTGTGTTTAAACTTATCTATTATAATGATTATATTTTATAGGATGATGATTCAATTAAAGATGGTAGGCGAGATAGGGAAAAAGATGGAAGAAAAAGGAAAATAAAATTGTATACACATGATCCTTACCTCTTACTATCGTTCGTCTATTTCGATCAAACTCACTGTGGTTATATATTTGACAAAGATATAGAAGAACTTATTTATACTTTAGGACTAAATTTATCAAGAGCTCAAGTTCGTAAATTAGTACAAAAGGTTGTAACAAGGGATTCTTTACATTATCGTAAATTAACAGATAAATCGAGGGAAGATGACTTAAAGGAGGAAAAAAAAGATGAAAAGGATATTGATAAATGTGATTTTGCTAAGGTAGACGGCGAAGAAGAAATATTACGTTCATTAGCACTTGGTACATTTTACATATTTTATATTTTATAAATAAAGTACTGTTTTATTTTTATTTTTATTTTTTTTGTTCTTTTTTTTGTTTTGTTACAGGAAATAAAAAATTATTACCTGTGTTTGTTGGAAGTGGACCGCTATCAAAAAGAGCACGGAGAGAAGATGCGTTTACAGAACAATCTGAAGAATCTAACATACCAGAAGGTTTTGTTATGTATAAAGGCTCTTTATTAGATGTAGAGAAACTTGTTAGCCAATTAAAAAGGTCAGAAAAAGCACGGTTAGACACAGAAGAACGTCTAATGGAATTACAACACGAATTATGTGTTGTAAACGACAAATCAACAAAACAAACAAATAGTATTAAAGGTCTTTCTGAAGATTTAAAAATATACAAAGATAAATTAAGAAATACGGATGAAAAACTTAAAAAAGTATCGGTAAATATCACGTACTTGTTCATTTTATTCCTTTTTTTTCTTACATAATATTTCAAAAATGTATTTATATTGTATTTTTGTTTTCTTTGTGTAGTCTGAATGCCACACATACCTTACAGCAGTAAAAAATATGTATCATATAGCAGCAAAAATGATGCAATCTGATACAAGAAAAGTTGAAGTTGTAGAAATACAAGATGAAAAAGTTAGCGAAGTTAATGGATCAGAAATTGAAACTAAATTTAAAACGGACACAAGATGGGGTGACAACAAAATTCCAATAAAAAAAGAATTTACAGAAATGGAGAAAGAAAAGAAATGTGACAATAAAGTCTCGATTAAAAAAGAAATCATGGAAACAGATAAAGAAAAAAAATAAAAAAAAGATGTATGTTCTTTATTTATTGTAAAAGATGTGAACGCACTCTTATTAAATTCTAACTGTATTAGTATCAAGGAAATTAAAAATGTGCTTAGTGATAAATAGCACAAAAGGAGAATGGGATAAATTTACCCACATGAAAGTAAAAATGATGTTAAAGACTCTGTTTTATAACTTTTTTCACTCAGTGACAATATATAGTAAACCTGTTTCTGTGCATATTACATTAGAAATAAGGAAATACGCGTTCAAGTAGCATAAATGAGTGATATTGAGTACTACAAATATTAGAACCAATCATTACACTGCAATTCTTCATTCAAGTTTACCGAATTTTATGCAGATAAAATTCTTAAAGATCTTTGAAATACTAATGTAATTTTGATTTGCCATAAAGTGCCAGATATTGATAGACAGTTATACGTCGTAATTTCAGTATAAGTTAACATTGAAAATTGTCATTGTATAACATATATCATACTTCAAAAATTCTACCACATTTTTGAGTAAATTCTCATAATGAGTAATTATGAACCATTTCTTAAAACTTAGTAGTCTATTTTTCCAGTTATTTTGTTTCATAATAAACTGTGATTTATTCAGGACACATTTATTACAATGCAATTTTTTTCTTTTCTTGAATGGATTACATTTAAGATAATGTTAGCATTGTTGCTTTCATATATGAATTGTACATTGCAATTATGATCCCTATGTGATATTCTTTATCACAAGTACTTTTCTTTTTACAGCAACTATTGAGTAACATATTTGACAGTAACAATGTATTTGTATTATGTTATAAGTGTATTTATTGCTTTGTACACAGGAGACAGTATGACAAAATAAAACTTTTATGCAGTACATATAACACCAACTGTAAAATACACAGTAATAATTAATTTACGGGATATCGTTAGCATTATTTTTCTCAAACTGCGTACAAAATGAATTTTTGTCTATTCTATATTTCTTATAATTGCTGTAAATATTTTCTCGAAAACGGTACCTAAGAGTAATTTGAACGCCAAAGTATCTGTAGACAGTTTAGTATCAAATAAACATGTGTTATGCATATACATATATATACATATATAAAGTATAATAATTTATTTTAAAAGAAATTGTAAAAGATAGCATTACAATTTTTTTTTTATATTCATAAATTGCGATTTTTATTAATGTTATTTATCTCAACATGAATTTAACAAAATTTATATGTTAATTGTGATAACTCGGTAGAAAGATGAGTGCTCATGATGTCCCTCATTTTGAACAGATATTACTCATTATACATATACAATTTGAAAACTGGTAAAAAAGTACACAGAAACGTAATTTTTGAACACTAGTTGTTTTATGTATTTTTTTTCATCGAATAACACACAATGCCAAGGACATTATTTTGTATATATAATCTACTATAAAAAAATCTTTTTGTAGTTTATTATTAGAAAACTGCATTCATGTCAAGAAGCCATTAATATGTTTAAGATAAATTATGGATAACGGAATGAGAAATAAGGTGTGTATGAAATAAAAATTATAAACATTGTAAAATTAATTCCTTGGCAAGAGATACTTTAAATATGAGAAGATACATAAAAAAAAATAAATTTTAAACACTCTATGCGACTTTTGTTTTAACCTTTACATATTTATTACAAAAAAGGTTTTCATCAATAATTCTTTTTTACTTATATTGAATATTATAAGAACGTTTTCAAGTTTTTCACACATTTCTACTAATTTGACATATAAGATGTGTAAAAGAACATTTCTTCTGAAAAAATATTTAGAAATATTTTCTGAGTCATTTTCTTTTCAAATTGTACTGCAATAGGAATTTTTATATGTTATATAACAATTTTCGTATTTTTTATAATATAATATTTTAAAGTTTAAAATGAAACCCTTGAAAGAATTTACTTGCTATCAGAAAGTGTTTCCATAAAAATTGCTTTCCTAATTATAAATTTTTTTGGATCATGAACTATGTTTTTTATTTGAATTTATAATTATTTAATGGATCATGAATGATGATTTTTTAACTTATCACTGGCAGGATATGAAGTACCAATAACGCGTTTAAACATAATTTCATTTATTACTCTATCATATTTAGGACCACAGAGAAAATATATTTATACATATAATGTACAAATTAAAATAAGGTTTATCTATTACAGGTCGTAAATTATCGATGTTTCTGTTTAAATACAAGTGAAAGCTTTTATATATGTATATCATTTTGCAAATGTTAAATAAGACGGAAATACTACTTACGAGTACACTTTAGTAACATTTTACATGGTTGACTTACACCTACCATGTATCAATATTAAACGTTAAGGATACTTATGCCTAAATTTTACACTTCTAAGTACAATACTACCGCATTCGAGGAACAGCAGCATTTATAACGATTTAGTTTTCGTTATATTTAGTTCACTGTTAGAGAAATTTATGTTTACTAAACTATCTACTACAATCTAGTTATATTTATTTCAGTGAATATAAAAAAATTTCGCATATATAGCAAAACGTTTTTTCCAATTTTATAGATTTTAATATTCTTGTAAAACTGCAATCACAATAAATTTAAGAAAGAAATCAATATTGGTTTAAATTATTGCAAACTAATTGTAAGAAGCAAACTTACGTATATACACAAATTTACAAGTTATTAATGATTTAGTGGTGAAATAAATTTTTTTATTGCATAGTATTATGTAATAATTTTTAAACATTGTAGCTTATGATATTTTTGTTAATATTGCTGCACATAAGTACATTTGGCTAAAAAATTGTTACTTCTTTTAAGATATAAAGGTAAGATATAAAGAAATATAAATAAAAATTCATATAGTTTGCTTATTACATAGTAGTTATCAGCTTAAATGGTTAATAATTTATTTACCTTTTAAATACATCACATTTTATAAAATATTTTAGTAATTATTCCAAATTTCTAAATAAAATTTGGAAGATGCATGTATTAATATACTAAAAACATATATACAACGAAGAATTAATACTAGATAAAAAAATATATCAAACGTTCATTGAATAATTATATTATGAACTTTAAAAACATTAGAAAAACAATGAGTAATAAAAAATCTACTTTTTGTTGTTCAAAAATTTTAACATTCATTTTTTAAATTAATAAAACTTCATTTTAAATTCGGGAAAATAATTTAAAAATAAAATTATTTTCATTATTAAAATATATATACTAGATAAAAGATTTATATTAAATTATTATAATAAGCACATCAATAACAAACCAAAAAAATAACGAAAATCATTTTAATATTTTTGAAGGTAGCATATAACTTGTAGTAGTCAGTCTGTCATATTTTAAGTATTCTGCCAACTGGAATGTGCTTTTGTACATATTTGTCTGTTTTTTATTATAAAGGTGAAACTTACCAAATCCATTATTGTTTGTATATAAAAAATTATTTTATGCTCTTAATTTCTTTTTATTATTATAGCATTTTACAAATTAAAGTATCAATAAAAAAAATGTACAATGTATATGAAGTATTTAGTATCTCCTGATATCAATTAAACAATATGGGTGAATTCTGTGTTTTTCATAATACAGAATACTATATTGCCATTAATTCAGTATAAAGTAAAATATACAAAACAGTTATTTTTATGAATCATTTACAGGAATATTTATTGTCTTACTTATTTTATTTATAGTAATATTACCATTTTACGAAATTTTTAAAAATTAACCCTTTGCGGCTGATGTCCCCACAGCGGGAATATTCGCAAGTCGCCTTGAAATTAGGGCCTCGCGCAGCACGGCGAACGAGGCTAGAAGCTATAAGTAGTATTAAACATAACAAATCAGTTTCAACAAATTCTGTATGTTTTAATATCCATATATTGACTTTAAATCCTGTACGGAAAAGTAACTGCGAAACGCTAAATTTTCTCCGACCTGTTGGTATTTCCAAGAGCAAAATCCCCCGACCGCAAAGAGTTAATAGATATATTTAAAAAAATAAAGAAAAGTAACTTTTTAAGTCATCTTTTCATGTTCAATGATTCAGGAGACGCTAAATATACTAAATTAAAAAAAAAATTTGATAGCACCAAATATAATCTTACAAATCAGCCATAGAATAAATTATAAATAATATATGTTGTAAAAAAGAATTCACAAAATTTTCGTGATTCCTATATAAAGGTTTTACTTTTGGAATCAAAATCAATTGAAAGATATTATTTAACATTGAATAAAAAATAATATAGTGAAATTAAGTCCATTTGATAAAAATTTTGAAATTAAGATTAATGTTTGCTATATTTAAAAATACATAGAGAAATAAATTTTAATATTCTCCAAAACGTTTGTCTATAGAGAACATAAATTTTTACAATTATCGATCCTTTATCTTGTAATTCTACTCTAAGTACAATGATTGTAAAAGAATATAATGTACACTTTACAAATATTACACTACAATATTACACTATAATGCAATTACATATACTGTTACAATAGTATTCTGCTATAGTGTACACTGTATGTGATATATATACAATGCAATCACTTATAGTGTTATACTATGTTGTAGTTTACACCATATGTAATATACATGTAGCGTAATTGTACAAAATGTAGATTATATTGTTTTTATGTACTTGCTGTATTTAAGTGTACTTCAAATAATAATTTTTAAGATACTGAAATGAAAAAAAAAGCTGAAAAATTTATAAAAAATTTCATTAATGAGAAAAGCATTTATAGGCAACTATTGATCGTTAAGAACATGAATAAATGTAATTTTTGTCATTTATACCTAATAAATATCACTAACATTTATATGCAAACTGATGAGAGTATAAACAACAAGATAAATGGATACTTTTTAAAATATTGCAAACATTACTCAAAGTATTTTCCACATAAAAGTTAAAACTATGCATTCATATAATGAATGCATATTTTTGAACAAGGTCAAACAGAACGTAATTAATAATTTATAATTACAAATGAATTTATATAATTCAATGATTATGTTTAAATATTATAGTATGACCATGTTATTTCTTATATGTGAATGATAGAACCAAATGAAACATAAATCTTAAATGATAGGAACTTATGAATTGCCCTTAATTCTCAACACATAATTTGTACATTATTTTTGCAATTTATGCGTAGTAAATGTTAAGAACGTTTTTACCTACGTTACGTATTAAACAACTATGAAAAAAAAAAGAATTTTATACCTTGCATAAAATGGTAATCATTGAAATACGTAGAAGTTTCATTCGTATTTTTATGTTGAAATAAAAATGTTCCTAAATTATGTAGATAGCATTATCACAAAGTAGCAACTCACATGCTACAAATCGAAGGCAAAATTCCATTCAGGCTATGTAGAAAATAAAATTATTAAGCTATCTGAGCAGATTATCCGCAATAATACGAACTTGAATTAAAATTTAATCAAATCTCGTAATGTAAATTAATTACGTATTGTGCGGTCGGCCTGTTGAGGTTACGGCCTTTGCTGACCGTGGTATCTGAGTTGTCGCAAGTTTTCTAGCCATTGGAATACACGATTTCATGGGATTCTCTTCCTTTTTTATCTCATGTTGCTCCTTATCGTTTGATTCAGTGGATTTCAAGTCCTTTAATTTGACGGTTCTTTTGCTCGAAGGGCTATCTGCTGACAATTTATCTGTATGCCCATTTTGACGATACGAGGTTTCCTCTTGACGAGGTTTTATTGTACGCGATACACGATCGGTTGACTTACGAGGGCTTCTGTTACCATTAAGCTCTCCGAGCAATGGAGGACGATGTGGATCCCATGAGTCACTCCATCTGCAAGTAAAATAAACAATTTCATTGACATTTGCAATTTCGGTTTGGGTTAGGTGAACATCTATATGCAATCGTTTGTTAATATTTTATATATGCAACTGTGTATTTATAACACATACATATCGAATATTTATGTTCTGTTATGCTTTATGAGATTCAATCAATCAGTTAGTTACATTTTCCAGAAATCATATATAATTACCCTTATGCGATTATACAGATAAAACATTGGGGTTAATTTAACATGAGTTATAATACTATAAACCAATTTTTAGTTAGTCATATATTGAGGTATGTATATTAAATATGAAATGATGTACAAAGAATGTATATAAATTTCAATTCATAGAAAATTGATATTCATGTATAGATAAAATGTATTGAGTCGCTCGTCAGTGATTAAGTAGTGCGAAGCATCTGAAAATGGGCATTGAGGAAGTTACTGATAAGTACTATGAAGGAAGACGACAATTGCGTTGATTCTTGAGAATGTTAAAGAAGTTAATGTCCTAATTTACTTAAATCGACGTTCTCGCTTATCGTAAATGATCGAAACATCTAGGAACAAACATAAACAAAACGACCTGGAAAAAGAGAAGACGACAAGTGGTTTCTCTCTCGTGTTAATGCTCGGTCATATTATGCGCCTATCACACAGAAGCTATTATGTAAACTTCAGTGAAAAAACATAGGAAGTATTTCAACACGAAAAGACCTAACCTCAAATTAAAAACTAGCCTTTATAAATTGGTTTCCTATTGTATTATTCAAAGATACTCGGCCAATATATGTCAACAATACCGAAGATTTTTTTTTATCCGTCCATATATTTTTTGAGGGAAATGTAACTTACTTATTGATTCACAGTAAAAGGACAAAACAATAGAAACGTGTTAAAAATGAATGACTTTAAGTTACATGTAAAAATATAAATAATGAACTTACCCCACACAGCTAGCAAATGCAGCATGAAACATTATTAATTGTAAATCTATTATAATCTCAAAGGAGTGTTTCAAAAAAATTAATTATGTGATCATAATTTTTAACTGATCATTATATTTGTCTATTTATACTACATGCTAGGAGAGTTAGTATGCGAAGATAGAGTTAAAGTATTATAGAGACACTCTGAAAGCAAATTACACATTTTATATGATATATCATTAAAGTTGTGTTTCGAACTGTTGAAACAGTAAACTTTGTTAGTTGATACTTGAAACTTTGTATTCAGATAGGGATTGCGATCGAATCAAACATGTAACATGTGCTGGTTCTATTTATTAGTAATATTGTCAATAAAAATTCTAAAATTAACATATTATTTAATTAAAGATATTGCATAAATATTATACATTTGTTTCTATACAGCTTATTCATGTTTTATTGTAAAAAAATATATATATTTCATTAACATATATTACATGTTTCTGCTACTAAAAAATTTTAAGTAAATACCACGTATATTTTTTAATATTATAAATGTACAAATAGCTACATCGGTAAAAATTAATTTCTATCTACTTCATTTTATCTGTATGTACTCATAATTTATTAATATCAGTACAAATAATTCATTTAAGTATTAAATTAAATATCTGCGAATTATTTACAAATGCATAAATTCACTACAAAACTAAAACAAGAAGAATTTTAAAAATAAATTGGGACTGATAAACCTTAATGATTAAAGCTATTTCCATTTTTCCCTTTACCATGTTACTTTACCATATTATTAGTTAAAACAATAAGATTCGGTCACAAGCCCTAATGCAAGGCGATACATTATCAAACGTAATTGTAGACGATTGATATTAATTTACATTTGTATACAGTTGAAATAATTGTTAGTAGAGCAGCATAAAAGGAAAGTAGAAGCAGAAGGTTGTACCATATATCGCATGCAAAAGAAATTGAGAAAAGTGTTATAATCGGATCATCAAACAAGTGATCCTAATGTAGAAAAGATGTACGAATATAAGGGCGTTTAATGCAGAAAGGAGCAAATATCCCAATATTAAGTCACAAAAACTGACCGACTCTACCTTCCCGATCCTGAAGCTGTCTCACATGGAATCATCGGAGTAAGGTAATGACCAGAGCAGCAAGAACAATATGTTATTTATGACAAATTTCACGATGTCACGAATGAAAAATACTTATGATATTTGCAAATGCTATACATTTATTTATGTAATTTTTCACTGTGATATTGTTTAAATGTAAATATTTTTGTGGTACAAATAGGATTAGAGTATTCTGTTATATAAAAATAGATGGGAAATGTGAAATAAAAAAATTTTTTTATAAAATGTACAAAATTTATATAAATATACATATGTATATAATGGAGCAATTACAATACAGATGTTAATAATTTAACCATTGGTTATTAAATGCAATTATATTATGTTTACTAATTAATTATTAATTAATTTTACATATACAGCTGAAAAAGAGAATAAAATTTTTCGTTGAATCTTATTTATTTGATCGAATAAAAAATCAAATGTATGATAATTTGAAATGAAAAATTTAGATAACATTTTAAGAAAAATGTGTTTTAACGAATTGAGATTAATAAAGCCTTCGATTATCTTTCTGCTGAAGTCAGAAATTCGAAAAAATTAAGTAAATCAGCTGGATTTGTTTAAGTGCATTGTGTAATATTTTAAAAACTAATTTTGTTAAAAGGGAAATCCTAGCTGTACCACAATTGTTCTATCTCATACAAATATGATTTCTTTCATTTCTTATATTATACAAATTATTATATTTCGTATTCAAAAAATATGTAATATATGTATAAATAATTAATTGCCTTATTATCAATCTCAAAATTTTTTCATTCAAAATGTATTAGCATTATTAGCGTTTTTTAGCAGTAATGTGTATGGTATTTGTGTCTATAAAAATACTATATTGTATAATATATGTGTATCAACAAAAAATTAATGATTTTCGAAAGGAACTATTTCTTCAATTTAATTTTTAATTATTCTAACATGTTATATTAAATATTTCGATAGAAGTGTTTACGTCACAATAGAAGGAATTGTAGTATTTTAAAATGAATTTATTGTTAGAAAAGATTTTGTTTTTATTTCATTTTTAAAAGTATTTTAGTATCATATTGCCTACATCACATATTTTGAATTGATGAATATCAGAAAAATCCTTAGAGTCTGAAATTGTATATAAAATACAGTTTAACAAAAAATACAAATTAGAAGTAATAGTACTTTTGAAATATTTTACTTTGAAAACATTTCCTAAGATTTTTCTGACAACACAAGACCGATACTCTTATGTTTTTAATCATAAGATGATTGTATGGATTCTTCAACTAAGATGAAGAGAAAAAAAAATCTCACCTAACTAGAGGCCCCATAACATCTTCCTGTGGGAGTGTTTGCAGGAGTGATGGTCCTGCCGACACTGGGCGTGTCTGTATCCATAATTAAACATATAATAAATAAATAAATAAATAATATAATAAGAAATAACAGAACAGATACTAAAATGAACACATCGATTGAAAGTAAATATCAACAATTGTAAAAGAAAAATTATAATCGTATGCGTAATAATATTTATATTGCTCGTCATGTTAATAAAATATAATAATAAATTAACAATAATGAATATGTAATATTATATGTACGGTTTAAAAATGTTTGAACACACCCAATTATTTATTTCACGGAATATGAAAAAGGTGCTGCATATAGATGGACATAAATTGAAAATGAGAACCTGTACATATGGAGGCATTTAGGTATATAAAGTATGAATAACGAATCAAGTATTATATAGATTGTGTTAGATAAGTGATACCATAAGGTGGAAAACGTGCGTATTGTATTTAGATCGTTTTTAAGTATTTTATGTGAGACATCTTAGGTATGAATTATAATTACCGTGAGTAATTTTTATCACACTTTATCATTTTTATAAAGAGAAGATAAATAACCACAGAGGCTAACAGATTCGTATAAACGAGATGAATTTTGAACATAGTCTATCGAAAATTGAATGTCGAAAATGTCGATAAGTTCATACCATTTAATAATAATTATAGTTAAAATTTTGAATTTATGTATCAGAAATAGCATATCGCGATTTTAAAGGATAATGCTAGCAATGATCAATAAAGTGTATGCAACTTAAAAACAGCTATGCTGAATTGTTATTAAGGAAACAATTCGTAACTATACGTGTACTATGAATAATAACATTATAAAACGTTCAGCTAAAGTGCAAAATAAAAATTTCGTTGCTTTGAAAAACTTTGCCACCTGTGCAGTGGTTTATTACTATTTTCTTTTTGAAAAAACCTCTTTATAATGTTGCTAGGTGTGCTTTCGGAAGCGAAAACTAATATTCGATTTGTAATCATTGTTCGAAATATTTCTAGAACAAAAATGATAATCAGGTGAGATGCAAGTTGCTAAACGTAATAACGGTTTGACGCTAAACTTATGTGGTGTTGAAGATAGCGAATCATAAACGTACCTTCTCTGTCTGCGTAGCAGCATTGCAAGTATTGGGGGATGAAAAATTATGGTTATTGGTTAAAGCACATGTTTGGCCATCGCCGTTAGGTCCTTGAAGTTTCGACAGTTGGAACTGTAAAATTGAGAATTTTGTTAATTTTTTCATAAAATGTGCAAATGATTATTAGATCACGAAGATATCATTTATGCATAATCTTTTATTCATCAAAATATCACCGGTAATTTTAATACAGGAAATTAAATTTTATTTAATTATAAAAATATTTGTCTTATAAATAATTTTTTATTCGCTGAAAATCATAATCTTGGTAAATAAAATTAGGTTTTATTTAATTAAAAAGATTTTTATTTTTAATCGTTATTCGTCAAAAGTCATCATTTCGATAAATGAAGTTATTATGTATTTTTCTGATTTCTTACCTGCAGTACTTGTATACTTCTATCTCTATCTTCTACTTGGCCTTGTAAAAAGACAACCTGTCTACGTAAATCAGCCAGTTCATCGGCGATACTACTACCACCACTACCAGGAGATGTACTAACATCCGTAGTACCATTTTCGTTCAGGTTGTAGAAGAGACCATTCTGAAATTTGTCAAATTTACATGTGTTACGTCATTCAGCGGCATTGGTAACAATCTCCATAATATCTTAACGGCACTCGAAGATGTCTAAGTAAATAAACATCGAGTATAAATTATTTTATATTTGCCAAAACATATAATTTCATGCAAATTTTTTTGATATTATTTCTTGATCAAAGGACGTTGAAGATGTAAAGAAATAATCGCAAAAATGGATTATAAAAATAGTCAATGTTTTAAACATTTTCTAAAACAAGCTGATACTAAAATTTAGATTTCTTAAAATAAGCTTTCGAGTAGATGTTTTAAAACTATTTATGTACATTAATGTTTCAGATTTATAATTATTGAATTTTTTGATATTATTCGACATTAATAAGTAAAAGTGTTATTTATTAAAACGAAGATTAATTGTAATTAATCGTGCAAAAATATATTTATCAAATATAAGACCAACCTTTATGGAAGTGTCGAATGGGTTGAGAGTTTCTGCCTGCGAACATAACACCAAGAAATTATACGCCATTGAGTGTTTCATAATCATAAAGACTCAGTTGTATCATATAATAACAGCGAATATAAACCACATATCAGCAAAGGAAAGGATAACAATGAAATAATATGTACAATAAAAAAACGTAAATACAACGTACCCTCGTCAAACCGTTCTCTTCTGACTTGAAGGTAAAATCATGGTTGATGACAAGAATAATGAAAAGAATAAAAAAATGCGTGTTAATACAGAAGCACACCGATACACGTGTACAGCACAAATGAACAGAATATCGTGTCTTATTAACAAAAGATTGTTTATAATTACAAATAAGCCGTGTGCTCGAATTAAATACAAAATTACATATACCTCCTGAAGTACCCGTTTCAGTTTCAGGAGCATCGTTTTTATGGAAACAATGTCTTGAAACATGTGTTGATAGGTATCCCGATCAACTCGGAGGCTGCCTTCATCTCCAGAGTCGAGACTCGGTGATTGGATCTGAAACAAAATATTATCGAATTTATGATTATATATACACAGGTGATATCCTAAATTGGTATTCCTGTGAAGTTGCAGGACGTTCTTTTAATTTCGAGAATAACTACTTCGAGCGACATGATAATAGTGAATATACGTATTGTATATATTACTATGTCTAATTTCTACAAATTGAATATTTTAAATTTATTTTTCAATTTTTTTTCAAATAATTTCTTATATAATTATATATATTTATGTACACGTTAATATTAGTAATTTAATATTACATACTAATAATTTCTTATATTTTTTCTATATTCGAAGAAAAGTGGTCGTTTGAAAAACTACTTACATTTCTCGATATTCTTAAAGGGCTGGAAAATTGTCGATTACGTGTGCCATCTATGGAACGTGGTGAATCAGTCACAGATCTACTGCGCCATACCTTTGTCGTTTTATCACAATCGCTTCTGAAACAAAAATGAACACGAAGATATTACAATTATGGAACAACGTATTACACGGATTTCTCTTTTCGTATAATATTAAATACAACTGAAATTTATAATAATTACTTTTTTTTAGCGAAGAATTTGTGGCATTTAATAAATAATACTTTTAAATATATACAATTATATATATATATATTTTTATTATTAAAAACTTAGTGGCGGCTTATTGTACTTCGATCAACAAATTTAGGGATGAAATTTTAAGTAAATATGATACTACATATTTTATGATATTACAAATAATGAAATAATGAATACTGATATACGCCATACATTTATATCATAGCATCATAACTATATTTAATTATAACGATATACAGGGCAAAGTAGGGTAAAATTGAGTACTTGAGAAGTATTGTTATACGTCTTTCATGAATCGTTGAAAAAAAAATGTTAATGTTAAATAATAAATCATTAACATTATATTATTTCATACTGATATATCCTTAAGAAGTAATATAAATGAATATAATGTAAAATATAAATTAAAATAAATTAATAAAATGTGTTTTCAAGTACTGAAAACAAGTTACATTGACCATATAAGAAACGTATGATTTAAAATAAATTAACATTTGTTAAAATTGATCAAAATAACTTGTTCAATTAGTGTCGAATTAATGTAAATAAAGATTTTATAATATTATTGAATTTTACATGATTTTAAATATGTAGTTTGTATAAACTAAACAATGCAGTACCTTTACATTATTACAAATAACTTTTTTACCGAAAAATTAATATTTTTTCATTATACGAGATCCAATTAAGATTCCTGACAGTGGTCCATAATCATTTTTGTTAATACTGAGAAATATATTGGAACCCAGCCCTACCTTACTTTCCCCAATTTGGATAATTTTAATCATCAAGCTAATTTTAATAAACAAGCGTTTCCTGAAAATTACTTAAACAATTCAATTTCCAGCACTATTTCACACACGAAGAAGCTTCCATCACCCAACAAAAAACAAAAAGTCATAGTTATGGAAGAGATGCAAGAAGCTCGAAAATTCTTAAGCTTTGGAACAGTTTTAAATAGCTACATTTTTATTGATCACAATCAACGGTACACTAATCGGACATAGTTGGGTCACGAAACATCCATATGAACGAACAATCGTTGACTGTTCTAGGAAACAGAACTACCTTCCAGCCTGAGCCGTGACGCGTGCTTTCACCGAAGGGTTGCCGATATTAATCGGATTGCTTGTACTTTTTCGTTGCCTTGGTATCGGCGATCCCACTGTCGGCGTCGAACACTCGGAAGACAAGCCAGAATCACGACCATCCTCATTCCGACTCGATGTGTGACTGTTTTCATTTTCAATGTCCGCACTTCCACTCGCGGCCCGAGGGCTTCCGGTTATAACCGTTCGTTTCTTCGCGCCTCCTGACGACTCGGACGACGCCATTGCATTTGGCCAACCACTTCGATCGACAGTTTAGTATATCGTTTTCCATCGATTTTTACTTATTTTTAATTATGTTTTTGAGACGGCTTTAATGGGACGGATTACTAAACACATTGAAAGTTTTAGAATTTATGGAATGGAAATTTTATGTAAATTATATTCTATTTAATTTAACTTAATTTATTTTAATCTAATTTAATTTATATGTTGAATAATATATTCGATTCTAGTTAATACAGTTCAATGAGACTGCCATGTCATGTGAATAGAGGCAGTTGAGGGGAACAAGTAAGTACGTATATAGATTTTTCTGAAAAGAGAGAGATGAAGAATGGTGGTAATAATAATGAATTTCCGAATTTCTAAAAGGAGAGATTGGGTTGAATAGAGAAGTGTCATTTGAAAAGAGTAGTACTGTTGAGTCAATAGAGGTGCCTGAGATATTTTAGTAATTGGAATTAATGTCTATCATTTGAATTAATAATGGTACATTTGAATAAAAGTGAATTAATAATGGTACATTTGAATAAAAGTGAATTAATAATGGTATATTTGAATAAAAGTGAATTAATAATGGTACATTTGAAGAATACAGAAAATATTCTAGATATTAATGATTTAATAAAACTCGATATATCAAATTGTAATAAACATAAACAAAAATTTGTTTTTATACTTATTTATTAAATCTATTATTACACATAACTTGATCTTTGTACCTATTGCCATTTAAAGCGAAAATTCATTGAACTAACATTTTGCACGTAACCTTTTTCTCTGTTCTCAATATTTTAGAAAAGACCGCGTGACTACCAATCTTCGCAACATGTACTAAATTGTCGCAAACTTTAATTTTGCTAATACATGCAAACATTGTCGTGTTCCACAGAAATAAGCAACCATTTCAGGTCACCAAACCTATAATATCACTTTTCTTGAGAATAGCATTATTCATTTATCGAGACAACCTGGTAAATTTTAGATCATACATTTTAAAAAATACCGAACCTTCAATTTATACGTGACGTTATTTTCAAAATTCGTAATGAACATATTCATCAAGAAATATTGAAACGTTGCCAAAAAAAAGCTCGCCTATAAAAATTTCCTCAGAAATTCTAAAAGTAACTTAATTATTTTTAGGTACGAGAGTAACGCTTCTAGAAATTACCTAGGAAAATTAACTTAGCTTTTTCATAGAATCGTAAAATACAATAGAATTATTAACCATTTTTAATAAAGATGAAAAATGAAATTTATTACAAATACATCAATTAATATCAATATTTACACTATGTCTTAAAGAGTAAAATTAATTAAATAGACTAAATTTTTAACTAAAACTTTACGTAATTAATATTTTAATACTAAGTTTTATATTGTACTTTTATATTATTATTTCCATTTTTCCATTCTAATTCCATTACTTTTATTCGTTTTTTCTTCTAATTTTTAATTTCATCCACACTTTTATACTTTTTTTCCGACACATTGAACAGTAGCTTGGAAGTATCTATTTTCTTTCAAATACGTGTATCGTTAGCTTATATAGGGGTCGTTGATTTTCAGACTTATATCTCTGCATAGAGAAAAATGGAAAATCTATAATCAGGCTCACGTGTTTTTCTATGATACAGGCTTGCGAGTTAGCGGATGAAGAGAGAAGAAAACCTCGTCCAATAAATTCTTGAAATGTTCTCAGGTTAAAACATTGAATTGCCATGTGCTTAATGAACGCACCGTCGATAACTTAAATGAGCTTTGTTAATTAAGGATAGTTACTCGTTCATTGAGATTTTTCGAGTGGTCTGCACGCTTAACTTCTCTACGAATCGCAGTGAATGAAAAAGCGAGTGTCTTTCGAAAGAATTCCATGCAGCCTAGCACATTTCCAACGGCTGAGGGTATTTCTCTGCACTTTAATTAAAATGTGGTTATTATCTCTGACCTATACATACGTAGAATCTTTTTAATTTCCCGACGCCGAAGAAACTTCTTCAATGGTACTGCAAACTCAATGATTCGCCGTTAGTTTTAAAGTTTCACGGAGAAACGTAATTTTGTAATAATTTTAGATACAGACACAATTTAAATTATAAATAATTTTGACGATTTTAACCATAAATATTTTGGTGTCTTTTGACTAGAAATGTGGAGGAGTTAGAAATGACCCTAATAGATTATTATAACAGATGTTTAAAATTTATTTAATATATATAATAGATAAATAATATAAAATAATTTCTTCATAATTAATTAAGACTTTACTTAAAAATATTATCAAAAAGAAATTACTTCAATTAATTTATTTAAAAAATCCGGATTAAAAAAGGAAAAGAGAAACTATTACAATAAAATTAGTTGTTTGAAAAGGGTTATAAATATTGAAAAAACCTCCTGACATCTTTTCTCGTTCAGAATATACCCTGACTCTGTCCTTGGTTACTATTTGCTGCGTAAACGTACTGACGCTATTAACGCTAATTTTAAATTCTTCTTCTTGTTACTTTAACCGAAGGCAAAATGACATTTGTGTTCTCTGCAAGCAGTGCAATTGAAACTGTTGCCAAAAATGTTAAAATCCACAAGTTTAGCAAAGTTAGACAGTTGTAAAACCGTTGCAACTATATTCTATTAAACAGATTTTCATTCACCGTAAAATTCAGCAAACCATTACTTATGACGGTAATTATGAAAATAGTTCAAGTAAAACATCTAAAAGAACAGATTTTATTATTTATTACAATTACATCTATTTATATCGCAATAATATAAAACCAATAAAATCTTTGCCCAGTAGTAGAAAATTGAACTCTTAATTTTGTCGTAATTAATTTTTTAATTTATAATAATTTACAACGCGAAAGTTGTAATATTTCGACAAGAAACATGTATAACAATATGACTTACACTATTTCCATAATCAGCGACACATTTGTCAATATATTTTCTCAAAAAGTCTATCATGTTCATTTAATTTATAAATAATATAAATAAATTATATTATATTTATGAATAATATAATATAAATTTCTCAATATCAAAAGATTGCACTGATATACATACAACATACCTTCGGCAGTCCTGGATTGTCTAAATTAAAATCAAAATTAAAAGAAGGGATAGAGTAAGTTAACCCTTTGCGGACGAGACGTTAAAAATTGAAAAAAATAATAATACATAAAAGACGTAAACAAAATAATTGAAAATAAAAAAGAAAAATTCCTTAAACAAAAAAAGAAATATATCAATAATAATGATATAAAGATAATGAAATTATTTTCTGTATTACCCAATAATTAAAATTATTACTCCATGTATATTACGATATTCGTCCACAAATGGTTAAATTTAACCTCAAATGCAATGTTTACCACGTTACGGACTAACAACTCAATCACCATTCTATCGAGCTATGAAAACAATCGCTGTTCGCCAACTTCTATAACTCCTACAAAGCCCGGTTAGTCGGCGAATGTAGAACACAGATCGAAACAAAAAGGATCGAGGGTAAGTGGGAGATGGAGAACAGGAAAGGGTAGA